AATATATACTCTACGACGGAGAACCATTGTAATTCGGGGGCAGGATGTTACGATAGCATTCATCACGGGCGAGCAAATTGATGAAGGAGACAGCCTTTGTACGGATTTCATTTGTCATTCCGCGTACCGGGTTCCCGGGGTTCATGCTGCGAGCCTTCTACACCCGGCTTGTCTAGCAGCTGATTTATAGCTATTAACACACCGCTACTCAGCGATACTCGCCATTACAGACCGTAGCGGCAGCAGCAGCAGCAGCAGCAGCAGCGGCGGCAGCGGCGGCGGCGGCGGCGGCGGCGGCGGCGGCAGTAGCGGCGGGTCTTACCTTGATGACCGTGTTTCTTCGGCGTCTTTTTCTCTCGCATCCACGGGTACTCGGGCAGCTTAACGTGGGGGCCCCCGGCCGCGTTCTTCCTCGCCGCTACCGACGATGACGGGGACTGCAGCTGATGGTATTGCTGCTGGCCGGGGGGCGAGCCAGCGGCGGCGTGCTGGCAGTAGTGTGCTGCTGCTGCTGCTGCTTCCAGCCCCGTCTCTCCGGTGATTGATGCCGCACATGATGCGTGGTACGTTTCATTGATATGTGGGATCGCAGTCATAAACTCTTCAATCGACGGTTGACTGTTGATGAAGCCTGACTCTAGCATGCCTTCTGTCATCATTGTTACTCGTCGTCGGTGCGACGATAAAAAAGCGCACGCGGGAGCGTCGGCGGAGACGCGTAATTGAAGCGCTGAAGTGACGCCGGTATCCAGCCAAGAACACGCATCACAGCGTGTTTACGCTATCCACAGTCCTTCAGCCATCACTGCTCGTCACGTGACGTCGCTCGCCGAATCAGGACGTGTCGTCTTCAGATGGATCTGTTTAGTGTAATCGGTCGCCGGCCGAGGATTTTTTCTCGCTGGCGGAGATTCTCGGTGACTGTCTGCCGTCAATAAACATCCCTCGCTGGAAATAAACAAATGCTTGGTCAACCGCACGCGCGTTCCCCACCCCCGCTACCATGCTCGCGATCCTGCTGTCAAATTTACACAATACGCCGTACGTAATAGTACCCCACGTTATTATTGATGGCTTGAAGTGCGCTCGCAGTACAAGTGAACGCAGTAGGAATTAATTAGATACTATTAGCGGGTTATTTTTCATTTCTTGACACATAACATGGGGCTAATGACGCACACCACAAATCACTTCGAAAATCTGGCTGCGAGTTGTTGCCTTCCGAGGACGGTGACAGCAGCAGCAGCTCCCTGCGCGCATTTGTCGTGTAGCTGATGGAAGAGAGTGCACGTTATAGGAGAGCACGTTAGACGAACAGATCTCTGGCTGTAGTTTCTACACTTTACTCAGTCGCTCGGGCATTCCACGCGACCACGTGCACGAGGACCTATAGTAACTCACCTTACTCGCGCTCGTGTATGTGTGAGTGCGCGTGTGCGTGTGTGTGTGTGCCGGTTTGCTTCATAGTTTTACATGCCAACCTACTTTGATGTCGATCAGTTACGGCGACAGTGACACGGAGACGATACTTGAACAACGGATATTTCCACGGGCGCAATGAGCTGCATGGATAGTTGCCTACAACTGGATCTACGTGTACATACGGTGCGACACCCCGACGCTCGTGTGATCTACCGTCTATATGTAATCCCCGAGCAAAAACCCCACAGAGCAGTATACGTAGCATTAGGCGTAAATGTGCACGCTATTTATGTACGTAAGTTCGTACGAAGCGAAGCGAAATGTTAGTACTATGTACGTTCTTATTAGTATATTCTCTTGAAGTCGTGCCGTGAATTGAGAAAGGTTGGCATGCACGTTACGCGCGTGTAAACCTATATTTTAGATGAGCGAGTTTCGTTCGTCACCGTAATGTATCTGTTTCTGTAAGTATCCGTAAGTATCCGTAAGTTTCCGTAAGTATCTGTTTCGTAGCCGTAATGTAAATTAAACGAGTGCATGGTGTTTCACAGAGCGCTATCTGTGTGCACATCAGGGTGCAAGAAGGTGAATTTACACATGCGCACGAAAACACGCAACACGTGTGTAATGTTTGTTCACACAGTAACTAAGCGAAAGACATCATAAAGTACGTATTGCATTACGAATCTACTATCATTGATATATAGTCTTTCGTGTTTACATGCCTCGGTTTTTTCGTTTAGCCTTTGTGATATAATTCGGTGAAATTAACAGTAAGATCTATTTTTAATAGCGCATCTCCTATATACACTAAAATCAATATAGATAGAACACAATAGCTTACCCATATAAAGATGTGTTGACGGTAAATATAGTTATATTATCCGTAAAAATGTGTGCCTGTATTATACAACGCTGACTTTGATTAATAATGCGCTAGAAATCGATATCCTATTAATTTTGCAGTGCATCCCTGTATCACATCATAAAAAAACCTTTAACGATAATTAGTAATTCTGAGCAATGAGTTATGAAACAGCACACAAAAATGTAAAAAATACTGCATGACGATATTATGATTTATCACGATATGTATTTGAATTCTTCTACATGTACAAGTGTAGAATAAGTAATATAGAAACACGGTGTCATGTTAATTATGTAAGAGAGCTGTAGAGACGCGCATCTCCTTTTCGGACTATATAGAAGAACGCTCAATCAAAAACGAAGTCAAAAGCAAACGTATTTCTACTTACTCATACATCTAGCTATCACTTCCCTTTCCTTTCCTCACTATATATACATAATATATACATATATATTTGCACATTATACGCGGATATTTTTTTCACCTCAAAACTCATGCTATTCGTGACAAGTATATCAATATTTCTTCTCGCACCGGTAACATTCGAACTACCTTCCCATCGCTGCCAACGAATCTAGATAATTTACATTTAATTTTCTGTTTCTCGAACTCATATTCCTCGCAGAGTACAGTTTTATCATATTTATAATAATTGTATATAGATGGATTCTAGTATACACATTCGTTTATATCCGCACAGTGTTCGAATATCCGTACAGTATTGCATTCAGGTGCACGCGTCTATCTGGAGTATTGTAGTGTGTTATTCACAGCCTGCTACTGCATGCTGTAAGGCCGCGTTATTAACAAATATGATATCTGTAGTTTGCACACTACTATTATAATATTTGTAGATTATCGTAGATTCTGTAAGTAATTGTTATCTTTATAGTACACTGTATTATAGCATTCGTAACGAATCTATTACGTATCGTAGTACTTTGCTTTACATATAGAATACTGTGTTCTGGTAGTTACATCTCTTTCCCATTGTAAATATTCTAGTAATAATATTCTTAGTAAAGCTTACGTGTTATAGTATACGACTTTTGTAGAGGCAGATTATTGCGTACTATAATGCAGCATTCTATTTTATACATTCTCATGTCGGGGCATATATTGTTAGATGTTACATTATTTTTAGATACAATACTACAATAATTCATAACAGCTATCATATATAGTATTTCTTGCGTATTATATTCTTTTCAGGCATACGCTTTTTTGTTTATATATGATTCGAAAATTTAGAAATCAATTTAAAAACCCCACTATATTATAATTATAAAAATTACCTATATTTACCAGTGAAGATAAAATTCCTTATGTGGAATAACATTATCTTTCTCCTAATTAGGAAACACTAGTCCCTATCGTGATAGACATTTTGAAATCGATTAAATGTATCAAATTCACACAAAATTATGATATTATAATCATATTTTACCAAAAGAAACCATGAACAATTTATTCCTCGGATAAGCTATAAGCTATACTGCACCCAGTATGATATGCATTAATTCAATATTCAAATAACCGCACGCAGAATATTTTAATATAGGAAAAAATTACGCGCTTTCGTAACCACTCTTACAATTAAAAAAACCGAAATCATAAATTTTCCATATTTACTAAAATGCGTTGCCACCGAAGACGACATGATAGCCATTTTTAAACTTAGACTAAACAATGAATATTAGCGCAGTGGGAGCCACAGTCGCGTACTATAATGTGGAGAGTGTTATATTAAGGTATGATTAGTAAGCGATATGATAAGGTATGATAAGTAACGCTAGTGTGTAGCATAGCAACCGCCGATCACGTGACGCGCCGTTGTTCGCACGTCATTTGTTTGCAGACGTGAATAATTACGATCGTTAAATTCAACATTGATAATTAGCGCGTTCGAAATGAAAACGAGTTCAATCACAGGTTTACTAAAGATTGTTGAAGTTTTACGCGAAGCTTTATCATCATTGAAGTCAGTTCTCAGAGAAATCTATTATAAATTCGAACAAGGTACAAACTCGAATACATTAATTCAAGGAATTTCCTTCAATAGTCGTCGGCCACGAAATTTAGCGATGACAGCAGTTAATTTCAACATATCTTACACATTTTTTTTTCGCCAATTAAACATAGGATAAACCCGTATATAAATGAAAGGAACTATTATAGAACAATCGTGTAAAAGACAGATTACGAACCTTCATGGTTCCACGAAGCCGGGAAGCCTATTTTTCCAGGTCTATCGAATTGTAACTAAATCTTGTTTATATAGAATAAAATGCTGCTGATTGTAACGCCATTTTCTCTTTACGAACAAAAGTATCGATTCGATTGTTTCACGATGTAATGACATTAGCACATTTCGAGGCGGGTTTGTGTGTTGTAGCTCGACAGACAAATGAACGAGTTAATTCGGTAGCTCTCCACAGAATTAAATTGCTATACGCTTTCGTGAAACGCCGGAATGAGACGAATATTACGTCATTATACGTCATATTTCCCATAAATAACTGTAGGGATGTCAGCAGGCAATCCTCGAGGTTTCTCTTGGGTATGAACACCGTATACGACGATTGTGTAAGAATTACGAAATTAGCGTACGACTAATTGTAAAAAGCAACCATAAATAAATAAATATAGAATTATATATAATATATATATATATATACATATATCGTAGTTTATTGTTAATTATAACGAAAAAGCAGCACATAAAACATCCCGATAAATATTTTTGCGACTTGTCGAAATGGTTAGCAAAACAACAGCGTCGATATGACGCAATAAGAGCAATGTGATGTTTTATGGTTTACGGTAATGGTATCGTTTATCGCACACGCGCTGCAGCTTGGCTCACTGCGCTAAAACACAGCGCTCTGCTTTTAGTTGATTAAATATCGCGCTATAGTTAAATGTTCATGGAAACGGCTCATTTAGAAAAGACGCGCGTTGATGCGTCATCGAACCACCACGCACTAAATATAATCATTCACGTGCCATTTTGGGTATAACCCCTGCAGTTATAAAACATGGCTTTGCGACGTATACTAATGTGATAGGTTAGACCTACTGTTCGTTAGGTGGGTTACATAATTATGTGCGTTCGTGCTCATGTAGGCGCGCGCGTGCTTGAGTTCGTGTGCGTACGTTTGAGCTTGAACCGTATATTATGGGGTAGGACTGGGTATGTGCCCCTGTGCTGTGCCCCTCCTGTGTGTTGTATTGTGCATGTGTGTGGTGTTTGTGTTGTTGTGTGTGTGTCGTGCGTGTGTGTGTGTGTGTGTGCTGTGTGTGTTGTGTGTGTGATCGTAACTGTGTGTGTGGTCGTGTGTGTTTTTTTTGTTTTTGTGTGTGGGTGGG